TCATATCCATCAACCAAGTCAGCGAGCCTGGCCACCCGATCCCTTTAGTCGCCCCAGACGACAAACATAGTTGCCTTCAACAGCAAGCATGGGTTGCTGAAGACCTATTCCACCCGGATAAGTTCACACCCTACATCAATCCAGCGACATGCAGGAATGGATGTTACACAAGACTCGAGTATGGTCGACGTCCAATTAAAATTTCTCCCTGCTTCATGACTGAATCATGTCAGAAAAAAGGATAGGCAATGTCATGTATTTCCGTCTGGCCTTATAGTCCTTGTTTAGCTCAATGTTGAAATGTCACCTGGGTCAAAATGAAGTAACCCCAGTGTCGACTCCACCATGGTCAAATACTGTAAATGGCAATTAGAAATGTCACATATATTTCTTCTGATAAATCCATCCTCATAGGAAATGAATATGTTTGACGAATAACGCAGATACAATCAATCCTTTATGCTTTGATGCAAAGTCCTATACATTCCGGCGTCTCGGAATTGAAGAACATGTTCTAGACGCATGGCAATGAACGCATGGAGGACAATGAAACATGTGAATCATTGCGTGGGACAACCGCCTTGAGTGTGTGCATGCTGCTGTTGCAGTGTTAAATAGAGTCACGTTTATTGCGACTTTTCTTAGAACGACGACACACGTTGTAGCTTGGTGTCTGGTTGTTCATTGCTTTTTATGATATCGTTTGTGTTTGGATACAGGAAACATATTTGGTCTCAACACACATAAACTAGATCTTATGAAAGCAATTTGAATAAAGACACAAGCTAGAACTTTTGAATGTCATTTTTATATAATTTCAGGCATAACCTGTAGCATTATTTTCATGTGAGTGGAAGCTGTGGGGTTTCTGCTTAACATAGCTGGAACAGTTGGGACTGCAAGTCTCGTATTTTAAAGTCAAATCCAGGTTTGTCAATATGTTTCTGGGCAGCCGTGATATTTAGGCGCTTGAAATATATCTGGCTCACAAACTCCTTTACAAGCGTTGTAACGAAAAGGCAGTTAAAGTACAGTGTTCGTGTTGTACTTGTCTAAGTATAACAACTACATTTTTAAGTAAGGATAAAATTTATGGATGAACAACTTCTTCATTTCAATTAAGAGCGACGTTTCGGTGTAGGTTCTAACATCGTTATCAAGCAAGTGATCACGGTGTTAGAACCTACACTGAAACGTCGCTCTTAATTGTAATGAAGAAAGTTGTTCATCCATATATTCTTATCCTACTTAGTACTCCAACTTCTAAATGCCTATCAAAGAAACTACATATTGCCTCGATGTGTTTGTTACAAAATATCCCATTCGTAGTTTCCTAAAACCTTAAGTTGAGACAAGATCACTCCAAACCTGATGTACCCAAACTACTTCAGTGAGTGAGTGAGTTTGGTTTTACGCCGCTTTAAGCAATATTCCAGCAATATCACGACGGGGGACACCAGAAATGGGCTTCACACATTGTACCCATGTTTGGAATCGAACCCGGGTCTTCGGCTTTAACCACTACCCGACCGCCCCCTAAACTACTCCAAGGCCCCGACAGAGGTCAAGCCACACGCAGATTACACACGGCAACCTACTACTTCCATCCACACGACATGCCAGGGAGAGACGAAACGGGACTACGTGCTTACTTCGGTTGTTGTTTGACACCGCACTGTACAACTGATACAACATCTATATGACAGTGCAAATACTCGAATCTGGACCAGACAATCCAGTGATTGATATTATGAGCATCGATCCACGTCGTCAGGTTACAATGACCCCCATCCATTATCTCTTACGATCACCATATGTAGCTGGGGATCACACAAGTAACCAACTACTGGAGTTATTGGGCGCAGCGGGGTACCCTAGTGATTAAAGCGTTCGCTCGTCTCGCCGAAGGTGTAGGTTCGATTCCCTACATGGCTATAATGTGTGAAGCCCATTTCTGGTGTCCCCTGATGTGATATTGCTGGAATTTTGCTAAAAGGGCGTTAAACGCAACTCATTAACTCACTCACTTGATTTGTTTGTTTGTTTGTTTGTATAACGCCGCACTCAGCAATATTCCAGCTGTATGACGGTGGCATGTACATAATCGAGTGTGGCCCGACAATCCAGTGATTGGTATTGTGAACAACGAACCACGTCGTCGGGTTCCGATGACACACCATCAACCACGTCATCGAGCCTGACCACACGATCCATCTGGTCATCGAGCCGGACCACACGATCCTTCTGGTCATCGAGCCGGACCACACGATCCATCTGGTCATCGAGCCGGACCACACGATCCATCTGGTCACCGAGCCTGACCACACGATCCATCTGGTCATCGAGCCGGACCACACGATCCATCTGGTCATCGAGCCTGACCACACGATCCATTTGGCCGCCTCTTACGACCAGCAGAGGTTGCTGAGGACCAATTCTAACACGGAATCCTCTGAAAATCTCTTAAAACAACAGCGTTAGTCACACTGGTCACATATTGAGAGATAAAAGCTTATGTTTGATCTTGACATGTCTCGGACAACGCTTATGTTTGATTTTGACATGTCTCGGACAACGCTTATGTTTGATCTTGACATGTCTCGGACAACGCTTATGTTTGATCTTGACATGTCTCGGACAACACTTATGTTTGATCTTGACATGTCTCGGACAACGCTTATGTTTGATCTTGACATGTCTCGGACAACGCTTATGTTTGATCTTGACATGTCTTGGACAACGCTTATGTTTGATTTTGACATGTCTCGGACAACGCTTATGTTTGATCTTGACATGTCTTGGACAACGCTTATGTTTGATTTTGACATGTCTCGGACAACACTTATGTTTGGTCTTGATATCTCTCAGGCAATGCTTATGTTTCATCTTGACATGTCTCGGACAACTCTTATGCATGACCTCGACATGTCTCGGACAACGCTTATGTTTCATCTTGACATGTCTCGGACAACGGTTATGCATGATCTTGACATGTCTTGGACAACGCTTATGTTTGATCATGACTTGTCTCGGACAACGCTTATGTTTGATCTTTCACATGTCTTGGACAACACTTATGTTTGATCATGACTTGTCTCGGACAACGCTTATGTTTGATCTTGACTTGTCTCGGACAACGCTTATGTTTGATCTTGACTTGTCTCGGACAACGCTTATGTTTGATCATGACTTGTCTCGGACAACGCTTATGTTTGATCTTGACATGTCTTGGGCAACGCTTATGTTTGATCATGACTTGTCTCGGACAACGCTTATGTTTGATCTTGACATGTCTTGGACAACGCTTATGTTTGATCTTGACATGTCTTGGGCAACGCTTATGTTTGATCATGACTTGTCTCGGACAACGCTTATGTTTGATCTTGACATGTCTTGGACAACGCTTATGTTTGATCATGACTTGCCTCGGACAACGCTTATGTTTGATATTGACATGTTTTAGACAACACATATGTTTGATCACGGCAAGTCTCGTCCAATGTTTGACTATACACTGATGTCATATCTCGTACAATATTTTCATTGTATGATCTTGACGTGCCTTGCACAGGGTTTTAATAATTCATGACCTGTCTCGTGCAACGCTTACAGTTTGATCACGACATGTCTCCAAGAGCGGTTATTGTAATTTGTAAGTTCAAGATATGTCACGTACAACGCTATAGTGTAAGATTTTTGCATAAATACTCTCACTTGCTACTTTCATCACAACGAATACATGACCGCCCATAGTGCATGATGGAAACCTTGGTGACAACACCATAGAGGCTGGGTCGCAAGCAAGTGTGTTACCATGTTGCCATTACCATCTCAGATTAACGCTGACATTGGTATTGTTGAAATAATTCCAAGCCAAAACCAGGAGGCTGATATTGTCCGGTCGTGTTTCAGTGATTTATGTTCGGTCATAAATACCCCCTGAAGAAGACAAAGGGCTAAACACACAAGTGGTAAAGATTTAGCACAGCAACTATAAAACACAGAAACAACGTCGTTTAATAACATTATAAACGCTACAGCATTTTGAAGGGCGAGGAAACCCGCCTTCCACAGTTCTCGAGGCAGTGAACACGTCTTGCGTTGAGGCATGCATATTGTTACTATGTGTCAACTAGAGTGTATGAACATGCCTCCACTTACTCTCCGAACACCTAGTGAGTGAGTGAGTGAGTGAGTTGGGTTTATCACTGTGTGCCCCGTACGTCCTCTAGGTAACACTATTTAGCTTGAAGATACACGGATGTTGATATAATAATAATCTAGAACTCAATGACATGATTCACTCTTAAGTACAAATTCAAAATCATTGATTTCTACTACCTTGAATTAACGTGTTCTGTTTAATGTTAGTATAGTATTCACTGACTAGGGTATTTTGTCCATGCCGAGTGAGTGAGTGAGTGAGTATGGATTTGAGCGTCCTGTTTTCCAATATTCCAGCTTTATGACGGGCGTTCACATATTGCACCCACTTGAGGAATCCAAGCCGCATATTGATTATGAAGAGCTAACAGCTTTATATATACTAAAGCAGTTGGTGAATTCCAAAACAAATAACAGTGCTGTGTTTCTGCACCGTTCTGAGTCTGAAATGTTATAATGGTCATATCACATACTTATGAGATATCAGAGTTATACTTGACCTTCAAATTTGAAAACATAAGCAGCTGAGATCTACCTCTGATGATCCCTACTGTCATACAGCTGGAATATTGCTGACTGCGGCCTAAAACATAAGACCAAATCCCCTGATTCTAAGTCCGTGGCATTACATTCTCCTTTCTAGCACTGAGTGAGTGAGTATGTTTTTACGCCGCTTTTAGCAATATTCCAGCAACATCACGCCGGGTGACAACAGAAATGGGCTTCACACATTGTACCCGTGTCGGGAATCGAACCCGGGCCTTCGCCGTGACGAGCGAACGCATTAACCCCCAGACCACCTCACCACCCTTCTCGAATTGAAAAAGACAAACGAATTGTGGCAACGTTTTTATTCAGTTTGCACATTTATATACATTCAGTTGCATCAGCGTGGGCTTGAAAAGCTACAAACATGGACGAAACATGAACACTGTCGTGGAGCGGGGGTGGGGAATCTTGTAGCAGAGAGAGTGTGGGAATAACGTCAGCTGGGTCACCGCCAAGGGCAGTAGTGGGAGGAGTATCACATCAACGCTTTACCTGGGCCAGGTGTACAGCCCTTGACATGCAGGTATATACACTACACTACAGTATCACATGAGGTACACAATGTACAAATGCATAGCACCGCTTTACTGTACACATTTCTGTACAAGGCTTGCTACGGACCGTCATCTCTTCTGTTTCACTCACTGATCAGATGGTACGTACACATTCTGTACAAATAACGTTGTCTTGTGATAAGTCATTTCTTGTGAAGTGTCTACAGGACCGATCAAAGTCCATTAACGACTGGAACAACTTGTGTCTGCATTAGAGATATGACAAGATCCATAAGTACGTTCTGATTGAGTGTCACACGAGTTTGGAACACAGGGCATCTCGTAGCTTCTTTCAACAGCCCATGTCTTGGTTTGTTTGGTCTGTGCCTTTTCATTTAAATACTTCAGGAGCTTTCTTCCAACGTATGTCTGTCGTGGTTGATTATCAGGTACTCTAATTACTTCAGAGTTGTGAAAAGATATGTAAGTTCCGAATGGGTAACACAAGTTTGTCCGTTAATACACATGATGAACACTCTAGGGTGCTAGTGTTGGCCTCCTTTAATCCATATGCAGGATATTCGAGAAGGTATTTGCGACTGGCCTTACACTTATACCAAACTGTTTAAATAACAAAAAACAGTTGTACTGCATGAGTTTTATTGGGATGGTTTGGCAGAGGAAGCCGGACGAGGGACGACGTCACGCCAACTGTAACAACGTACTGAAAAAGAAATAATTCATGTAGACATACAAACACAAGTTGAGAACCATACCAATCACAGCCACACACATAACTATGTAGTTTCTACGTATCTATTACTGAAAATATTTAAAAAACACGTATTCGTTTTACATCTAATTTTTCAAAACTATATCAGTTGGTTTTCAGCACCTGATACCATTTTCGCAAACGATGAAAATTTATTTATAACATTGGTTCAATGGAAAATCAATTGCAGCAGATTTCTGTCTTTATTATAAGAAACAGGAAAATAGCCTACCAGTTACTTCTTTTGACCCCGCAAGGTGAACAGATATTGGTTGGGAAATCGCACTCTCTGGTCGTTGGGTTGAAGTAGAAACCGCCCTGTCGTAACGAACACTTGCCGTAGCCCCTGAACATCTCGTTCTCGCACGCGTAGTAGTACTGGCACCCCCTCAGTGGGGCAGGGTAGGCCCCGTCAAGTTTTCCCAGACAAGACGGAGCAAGGCCGCAGGGGGGAGGGGTGTTGTTGACAACGTCGCATTTTCCAGTGACGTGGTTGAAGACGAGGCCGTTCCGACATTCGTCGATATGCACGACGAAGTTTCGATGGCAGCGGTAGTAGGACATGCAGTGGTTCCTCACGTCGGCGTAGTTGCCATCCCTTTTGTTGAAGCAGATGTTGGGTTCATCTCCGCACGGGGCTGGGATTTGAAGGGAGAATTTGCATTTACCCTTTGCTGGACTGAAGGAACCGTACGGGCAGCGCATGTACCCCATCATCTGGCCGTGTTTGCAGTGGTGGTACATGGTGCAGCGGCCGAAGGGGTCAGCATAGAAGCCATCTTGTACCCCGTGGCAGAAGTCAATGGTTGTGTTGCCACATGGCGCTGTAGCCGTGTCAAAAGCACATCTCTGGTGGATCGGGTCAAACACCTCCCCTTCTCCGCATGTACCGTGTTCGGCAAACTTCCCTTCGGTGCATCTGAAGTAGGCGTCACATCGGCCTGTCTCATCTGGGTAGTAACCATTGTGACGTCCGATACAAGATGGTTGGGTGCCGCCATTTTGTTTCGGTATGTCCATCAACCTCTCGCATTTTCTCGTGCCAGGGGAGAAGATGGGCGTGTCTTCAGGGCAGTCCTTCTGGTCCACCGTTCTGTTGGACTCACAGACGAGGTATTTAGGGGTCCACTCGCGATCTGGGAATGGGTGGTTTCCGTCCTCCAGCCCCACACAACTGCCGTGGCGGACGGGGCAGGGGAGGCACGGGCTCTGGTGGCATTGGTTCATCCGGTACTCGCCTGGAACACAACATGACAATGTAACCCTACCAGGAAACCTAAGGGCATTTTTAGTGCAACTGATATTGTATTATTATGCAACTGTCTTTCGCGAGCACAAGTTTGTATTATTCTATACATCATCAGCTGAAGTCACAGATACAGGGTACAGGATTACATGGATGAAAGGGGAGGGGGGTAGCCTTGTGATTAAAGCGTCCATCGCAGTGCTAAAAATCCGGGTTCAAATCCCAACTGCGTGTCCATCAACCTTTTGCATGAATGTGTCAACTGCGTTCTTGCAGTCATTGAGTCAATTGCTAAGCTATCATTGCTTAAAAAGCTCCCCAAGCTAGAGATGTCATTAATGTTCTCAAGTTGATTAGTATGAGAGATGTTATTTTGATATTCAATCGATGTGCTTCTCACATGGTGCTAAGATATAATTGCTTAAAAAGCTCCCCAAGCTCTGTTCCTAAGTTGATTAGTGTGAGAAATGTAATTTTGATGTGCTACTTACATGGTGCTTGAAGGACCTTCCTGGCGCCACAGTCCACCTCCCTGAAGTGGGTGCACTCCCTGGTGCTGATGGAGAAGAGGTTGGGGTAGGGACACTCCTGGGTGAGGGGCTCAAGGTACGCCCAGTCCTCCTCCCGGGGGATGAGGGAGCAGTTGAAGTACCAGTGGCAGTACTCGGGGTGGGGAAGCAGCGTCTCCTGTTTGGTGAACACGCACGGGTGGTTCGGGTACACGCCTGGAAACAGATAGACGCTTGGTGAGCATAGTTTGTTTGTTTCTTTGTTGTTTAACGCCGCACTCAGCAATATTCCAGCTATATAATGGCGGTCTCTAAATAATCGAGTCTGGACCACACAATCCAGTGATTGGCATCATGAGCATCGATCCACGCAATTGGGATACGATGGCATGCATCAACCATGTCAGCGAGCCTGACAACCCGATCCCGTTAGTCGCCTCTTACCACAAGCGTCCTCGCTTTAACGGCAAGCATGGGTCGCTGAAGACCTATTCTTGCGCGGATCTTCACGGGTCTCAGTTCGCATTGGGTGATTACATGTTGACATGTTAAGATATATTCCCCATTTTCAACGTTACGCATGCACATGAACACATTTAATAATTTAGTATGGATTATCAGCTTGCTTCGGCAATTGTATTAAAGGAGTGGACCATTATTTAATTGTCTGTAATTACATATCAAGCCTCTAAGCGTCACCCAAAGATCGTATACATACTCCATATTCAGCAATAGAAATTGGCACTAGTCCTTGCCAAACTGCCCAATAGTTAAGGAATCATAAGGACTTGTAGAAATTTGCCATTTTTAAGGGGTTTGCTATATGTTATCATTATAAGGTCTAGTAGACTAAAAAAAAAAAATTCTACCGATGCATATTAATAATTTTGTGTGTACATTTGCTAAGATGACAAATATTTTACAAATGTTATTTTATGTTGTTTGTGCATTTGTTTTCATAATCTTACACATAACATTGTTCTCTATCCCGGCGGCTCCTCAGTGGCCTCGCTGTGCAGTATTCAAACAGAAAACTAAAGTGACAGCCCCGACAAGAGTTCAAACAAAGTTACATCCCCGCACTACACCATAAGAAGTCCAGGCACAGTTACACAACATGATTATAACGGGACTGTTTCAGGTGAACGTGTTTACATTCAACAAGGTCATACACGGACCTTCCACACTGCCGAACTCTGGTACACAATATCTCAACGGCTACGTGCTGGTGGCGAGGTCAGGGTCACGGTACGTTACGTTGCAGACGCTAAGTGGTCAAAACTAACACTTGCAATAAACACAAGGTGCTCTACGTGACCATTCAGGTAGCAACAATGTGCTGAGGGTCAATACTTGACCGTCATATCTAGGGGAGCCCAAACAGTGGGAGTGGATGGACAAATAACGTCAACTCAGGTTGGGCAATACTCATCATATTCACCTACGTGATGCTCCAGACGCAGAGAGTGATGATAAATTATTATATATCATCGGTAAACAAATCAAATTTTGCTGTTGGGGTTATTCTTTAAGATTTAACCATTGCTGCAAAATTTATACTTTTTTGGTTTATGGATAGAAAACAAAGGGCCGGTGTGTCGAATTATTAATTATACTTTTTAGAATACTTTCTTTTAACAAAGACGTGGATTTATGGGGTGGATAACTATTTGACAAAACCTTTAGAAATTTTAATGAATTTTCTTTTTGGATTCGAACAAGTCGACTTCGATTACGAACACATACGTGTGTTTCTGTCAACAAAGTTACATACAAACAAAAGAATATTCATCACCATATTTATTTACCACTTATCTATTTCTTCGAATTTTCTCATGAATATGAATTCTATCTTTTAAAGAGCCTACACATATTGCGCGTGAGTGATCCATTCACGTCATTTTCAGCGCTATTTTGCTTGTTACCCCAATGGAATCTGTTTCGTCCTATAATCGAGACTGGTTATTTTCTAGTGCTAACGTTTATGTTATACCCACGTCTGTATATTTTAAATTGTAAAAGACAGCCAATGATGCATTTTTCAGCAAACTACCATATGAGACATGAAATCGCTGTTTTAAATTTAGAACTATGGTGTCAACGTTATGGTAACATACTGAAAACACACCCAAACATCAACATGTCAAGTGAAAGTGATGGCAACAAACTCAGTGAAAATAATCGGACACTGCAGAAACTTGATGATAGCTGGTAGTAAACGACATACAGTGTTGTTTGTTCGTTTGTTTGTCTGTTTGTCTGTTCGTTCGTTCACTGTTTAACGCCGCAATATGTCAGCTATATCACCGCGGCCTGCAAATCATTAAGTCATTCTGAACATCGACCCATGCCGTCGGGGTACGATGCCATACCAGGTCGCCCAGCTTTACCACAAATGCATTTAGTCGCCTCCTACGACCAGCATCGATTGCTGGGGGTTGGGGCTATTCTTACCACAATCCCCATGTACAGGTTGAATGAGCATACACCCTAGGACAAATTATTACATTATTAATGCTCCACGTATTGTCGCTTGGCACCGGTTATCATTAGGTTCATGTGTCAGAGATTAGCTACTGTCCACCATTCACGGAGAAATATTAATACGTTAGCGATTTTCATATTTTCAGCGAAACGGAGTTAAACAAGACTGTATTTTATCTGTGGAATTATCTGGATTATACAGGGTGATGTATTAGAAGGACCCTCTGTGACCCTCTACATACACGAGGAAAACATTCATGAGTTGTCATGACAATCATCAGAAGTGCTTACCTATCTGACAAGTAAGAATCTTTCATAATGCTAAACGGAGATGTCGGGCTACAAGCGTCGCGATGGCGTATTTTAAATGATTTCAGGAATCGTGTTTCTTCAACCAAAACAGATTTTCTTGGGTCACGCATCTTTGAAAAGTGCACTTTCTGGTGGACCAAAGTTATCCCTCATATCTCGACCTTTCGGGAGTAGAAAATTATAGGTAATGAGAGTGTCATTTTCTCTGTTTGTTTGTTGTTTAACGCCGCACTCAGCAATATTACAGCTATATGACAGCAGTCTGTAAATAATCGAGTCTGGACCAGACAATACAGTGACTGACTACATGAGCATCGATCCACGCAATTGGGATACGATGACATGCATCAACCAAGTCAGCGCATCCCGTTCCCGATCCCGTTGACCACCCAATCCCGTTAGTCGCCTCTTACGACAAGCATAGACGCCTTTTACGGCAAGCATTGGTTGCTGTAGACCTATTCTACCCCGGATCTTCACGGGTCTGTTGTATATGTGTAGAAGTGGGGTTTTACAGTTCACCTTGAGACAACTACACACAAAATGTGATAACTATTGAGCTGATAAAAGTCTTGACCTAAACAATGTTCTTAAACAAAGTAGTCGGTGAAACTATACTCTTCCCACCTTAGGCGACCTCTCGTTCCAGTTCATGAAATGTGATAAAACATATTCGTGACAGCAATATACCCGATATGTTTCTAACAACTCTTATTGGCCGATAATATGATAATTGTTTTGGGGGGTGTAAGTTTCTTCAGTCAGAACGCTGGACATGTTGCGGGTCCAAATGAATAAATACGATTCTTCCATTCACAGAAAATGCTTGTTTTGAAACAGTGACTCCAAAAAATGATTTATGCCACCCCACGTTGCCAACGACTACAACCAGAACTTGTACTTACGTCTAATGGCTTCCTGTCGCTTATCCTCTGGGCTGGGGATACGCACGAGCGCGTCCATCCGGTCGGACACCGCGGCAAACCCACGTCTGCCGTTCATTGTGAAGCTGGCTGCTTCTGTGGAGGCATTTGAGGAGCTGGTGATGTTGCAGTCGTTCCAGCGGGAGTTGTCGGGGACGCAGTTCCTGCCGGAGACGGACCAGACGTAGTTGCGAGGACATGGCGGCATCTGGACTGAGCGCCCGGCTACACAGATGTAGTAGCGGTGACATGTGTCTGGGTCGCGGACCCACTGGACGCCATAGACTCGGCGACAAGGGTTGGGGGACTGTGCACGCCGCTTCCTCACGATCAGACTCAACTGGACAACGCCGATGACAGTGAGGATGATGAAGATGACGATGCACTTTTCACGCAAACGACTCATCATGCTGCACGTGCCCAGCTGACTCCCGGGCTTCTTGAATTTTGAAGCTATTTTGAAGTTTTGAGCAGATGCGGGGGTGAGGCTAAACTAGCACTTGGAGCAGTGCGTGGGAAGCAGATTCAGCCAGTAAGGTGCAAGATAGCAGTGCAGTAGTGCAGTAGCCAATCACTTTCTGTCTCTTTCCAAAAGTTCAGCAGCAGGACGCTAAGGTCAACTTGTCTCAAATACTCTTCGACGAAAGTTCGAAAGTTCGAGAAATATTCACAGCAACACCACTCCAAAGGTCAATCCAAGTTGAAACCAGTAGTGGATAAATCGTCTTGAAGTGTTTCCCACTTCAACTCCGATTGCAGTCGTTGATTTCCTATTCTGGCTAACCAGACGGCTGGTGTTAGACGGTTGAAGAACTCACGGCAGACGATATTTCATCCAATCGTTTTTTTATTTCCAATCAGTGCCCACTTATCGTCTGCTGGAGCCGTGGTTTGGCTCTGTCCCTAACGTCTGCTGGGCTTGCACTGGCGTGACACAGGAAAGACGGCGTTTTATAGTAGGGACAAGATGGTCAGATCTAGGATGGTCTTGGTCTCGTGTACACGACCGCCAGCGAGCAAGCTAGCCTGTAGGTACAAACATGGCCTCGGTATTAGTCGGCTTGTGTCAATTGGCTTCTTGTTTAGACTTCATCACGTTGGCGGGCCATACCGGACAAGTCACTTGTTCAGTATGTTTTAGGATGGACGGAATGTAAATTAGATTGTTGATACATTGAACCTTTTTTTCACCATTTCATTTTCAACACCATTGGTGTATTTCAAACCAATTGATATCGACATGTCCTCTGTAGCGTTCGGCCAGGACTGGGGTTGGCTTCATTGTTGTGGTGTGCACCGAGTTCTCACACCGACGATCAAGTAGAAGTAGCCATGTGTACGTATATATACATACAATAGAAACAGCCCAAGGACTATGGCCGTGTCGGTAAGTAGGTTCATTTGTGATTTTGCTTTGGGCGTGTGTACGGTACAATAAGGTCAAGAGACTTTAATTCATATAAGCGCATGGTATGCAGATTAAAACTGCTTTTGTTGTCGAAGATGTGCATTTGAAAACTAGCTTCGATCCAACGTTGACTCAAATGTATCCGACCCCTCCAAGTTAATGAATATTTATATCCTTTGTCATTAATTATCATTATGTATATATTATGCATTAGGGCATCTAAGGACTAAAAGAACGTTATAGATTTCAGCACTGTACCATTTTGTTGGAAGGTGAAGTGTTCCGGGTTTTGAGTTCAGGACTAATGAAACTAGAATCGTATTGCTTTCCAGTCGGAAGAAAATTACAAGCATTCATTGATGCCTTATTAATTCCCAGTCAGTAGGAACGTACATTGACAATTAGATCATTGTGCGTTTTGTGGCTGATATGTTTTGAGAAACTGATATCTTGTTTGGAGAGTGCCATTCGGAATATTATCTCCCTCAGTGCTAGGGCGACTCGTGAAGATCCGGGGTAGAATAGGTCTTTAGCAACCCATGCTTGCCGTAACAGGCGACTATGTTTGTCGTAAGAGGCGACTAACGGGATCGGGTGGTCAGGCTTGACTGATGCATGTCATCGTATCCCAATTGCGTAGATCGCTGCTCGTAATATCAATCACTGGATTGTGTGGTCCAGACTCGATTATTTACAGACCACCGTCATATAGCTGTAATATTGCTGAGTGCAGCGCTAAACAACAAACGAACAGTGCTCTGGCATATGTTGGAGAATATAAACAGCGAAATATATTCCCGAACGATTATCTAGAGTCACATATGGACATATTAATTGTTTATGTTTCGGGGGTAGATCAGATAAAAACGGAAGAGTTATTCCTTTGTGCTGACCTGAAGTCAGTCCATGAGAGTCTCTATTGAAACTATTACAGAGTTGGGTAGTTGGTGCATCGTGGTGATCAGAGACTTCGCTCGTTAGCACATAACAGTGTTCGATCACCTTCATACATACGGGAAGCTCAAATCTTTGTGTCGCCCGCATTGGGTTATCTCCGATACTGGTAATAACGGCAAACTGTTGTCTTGTTTAACATGGCAGAGTGCTGATTACAACCTAGAGCGAAACCCCGTTAATCCAGACGTTACAGATATAAGTGAAATGGTTCGGAATACGGGTGAACGAATACTTGTTACGGTGTTATGTTATTGTGTATATAAGGATACGTTCCAGACGCACATTATGTGATAATAGGACTATAGATTAGGAATATACCTAGTGCTCAACAGAACTTCTCAGTTAAGTGCAACTAGTTCTCATTCAACAGGCATTCCCTGTTGGTTGTTCCTTTTTTCGGAATGACGTGGGTTAGTTTATATTCACTTTCTGTGAAAAAAGGTGAGAAGTTTAATTGACACTTGCAACAAAAGAGCACGGACGCTCGTTTGCGTAAGAAGAATGTGTTAATTCAAGTTGAAAACACAGACAATAGTAAATAAACTGTTGGAACTATACGTGACTTGGAAACTTGGCAACACTGTACCTTGCACTGGAATTTCCAAACGAAATTCTCATGCCCGCATTCCAACACCTGCCATGAGTGTTGTGCTTTTCTAATGGCTTAGTTATGAATCGCTCTATCCTACTGATGTCAAAATTATGAATACTTTTATCCTACTGAAATGTCAATTTGGAAAACTTACATCCTACTGATATTTAATTTTTGAATAGTTATTTCCCACTGAAATCTAAATTATGAATACTTATATCCTACTGATAACTAATTTATGAATATTAATATCCTACTGATAACTAAATTATGAATACTTCTATCCTACTGATATCTTAATTATGAATAATTCTATCCCACCTAATCTAAATTATGAATACTTCTATCCTACCTTATCTAAATTATGAATACATATATCCTATTGATAACTAAATTATGAATAATTGTATTAACATTAAATCTCAGATTTGAATACTCAAATCCTAATGATAAAACTTAATTTTCAATACTTATATCCTACTAAATTTCTAGATTTTGAATACTTTTATCCTACTGATAACTCAATCTTGAATACTTATATCCTACTGATATCTACATTTTGAAACAATTATCCTACTGGAGTATATGTTATGAATACTTCTATCCTAATGAAATCTCATTTTTTAATACGTTTATACTTAAATCCTACTAAAATCGCATTGTTTTATACGTTAATATGCTACTAATATGAGAGGTAGCGACACACATTCTCAGACACATTCATACACACAGACACATATACACAAACAGATAAAATAGACTCTCACTCAAATACACAGTACACATACACTCACACAGACACACATGCATACAGACACACAGACACTCACACACACACACACACACACACACACACAAACATACACACATACATGCATGCACGCACGCACGCACATACATACATGTAAGTAGGTAGACACACATACATACATTGACGTTGTACCTACTCTGAAGTCTCAAGGTATGGTGGGAACAAGCTAGTATCCTGTATTTAAATGTACGAAAACCTATGTCAGGGATTGATAAAACATGAAACATCCGTACATAATTGACATAACCAAACAAAATACACGAAATTTCCATTTTTAAAAATATAATGATACTCCCAAAGTGGCACCTAATGCTTTAATACCATAAAGACCCAAGTCATATTACTGTTCAAAAAACGCTGTCTTGGTTTTGTGGTTTCAGAAAGAAAGAAAAAAATACTTAAATATTGTTTTCATATTTTTATTTTTGCAAAAGATATTTCATTCTAATTTACTGACATAAATAATTCTTAATCTCAATGTGTTACAACACATCACGCCAGATTCCAAGATCTTGCAGCTTCTCAAGTGAAGATTCTTACAAGATTGTTCATAAAAAAAATAATATCATTCAATGAAAAAAAAATTCATTCTTATTTTCCGGTGCTTGGCATGAAAAGATCCAAGTCACATAATGGTCCTACATGGGCCTATACATCTTCACAATGTTTCAGCTCGGTGGGAATTACAAGTTCGGTCCCTTATTTCTCAAGTATCAAGTGAAATATCACTGGTGTCTTGAACAGTTCCAAATTCGGTCACCTGTGTATTGTTCTCGCGTTAGTTTGTTCTTGGTTTTAATGCCTTTGAAGAAAGAATGTTTGACTAATTAAGAAAAAAATAACTCTGTCCGTTTTGCTGTCCATATCTGAGGTGACTTAAAAAGGGGTCTAATGTCGCGTCTGAGATCACTGCACTTGCAGCGACGAGTGTGTATGTGCGTGCGTGTGTGTGTGTCCTTGTGCTACTCTGGACTTATGCCGGTTTTATAGCGCCAATAAAGCGGTATGCATATCTGATGGTTACAACGTTGGTTGGTTTGTTTGTTGTTTAACGCCGCACTCGGCAATATTCCAACTATATGACGGCGGTCTGTAAATAATCAAATCTGGACCAGACAATACAGTGATTAATATCATGAGCATCGATCTACGCAATTGGGATACGATGACATGCATCAACCAAGTCAGCGAGCCTGACCACCCGATCCCGTTAGTCGCCTTTTACGACAAGCATAGTTGCCTTTTACGGCAAGCATGGGGTGCTGAAGACCAATTCTACCCCGAAAACTGCACGGGTCGATGGTTAAAATGATGCCCCTCTAGTGTAATGTGGACTCGTGTCACTTGTGTGCAGATCTCAAACATACATATCCCGATACGTCCACCCCTGTCCTGAACAACGGCATGCCTTCAATAATACGCAGCGTCTTGGATTTGAAACCGTGCTGTCTCGAGGGAATTTGCTCTTGGGTGGGGGTTAAAGCACAACACATCGGCATCGCCGTTCCGCAACATAAACAGGAATACCTCCTCTAACGTCGTACACACGCATAACGATGAGTGGCGTTTCCAGGCAATCCTGGGGGAGTTTCTTCCGAGCGGAACATCCAGAACATGGTGCTTAATGAAATATTAAGGGTTGGGTAACCATGGGTTGATTGACAAGGAAGCGCAACCATATATCAGATTGGACATGGCACTGTCCTTAATTACAAACTATAGACACAAGATAACTTAGATCCAGAGGATCAATACGGCGCGAAGAGAGTTTGTAAAGCCTACATATTGATGCAAGTACCTATACTGTCAACAAGCGCACATATGTAACCCAGAAAGTGACACAAACTGTAATTTGCATGTAGTACCTTCAGTATCAGGAATGAGAACATGACACATATGAGCTTAAATACAAATAAAAAACAAACATATCATGAGAAGAAAACTAGTAATATGTTTTCACAACAATGACTTCCTGGAACATGGGTTATTGTTTTCCAGGAACGAGAGGTATTAAATTGATACAATCATAGAGGTATAGATAATTAAGGTTTAAAATTTTACTGAATCGAATGGGATAAAAACCTTTTTGTTGGCACATTATATGTCAGCAACATATGTTGCATTGTCTAGAACTGAACGAACAATTATGACAGTGACACGATGGCTGGACGGAAAAGCATAAACAATCTTTTGTATATCTATAGTGGTAAAGTTATTAATATTTTTTCATAATATATATTTTCAAAGTCATATTTACATTGTTGTAATACTCTTTTACAATTAACTAGATCAGTGGAGATTGAAACCCACAACGTTGTGAATGTGTAGTTTTTATGAATCCTACTTCTCTATGAGAGTTACCTCCCTTATGCTTAGCATACTGTATGTTTACTCCTGTAGACTGATACGTCAATTATTCACGCGGTACAAAAGTGCTCACACCTCGCAACACTGGAACTGGGTCAACAGTTTGACTCCGTTTGATTATTTAGCCCGACTAACACAAACGTGTTTAGTGTAACAATTTACAGAAAGCAATGTTTTAAAAAATATGTTCATAATCATTTATGCATTTCGTATGTACAAATATCACTATACATGTCTGAGGCAAATATGTGGTTTCTTTTCCAAATTTGTTTACATCTATCTAACAATTACTCTTATCATAGAGTTTTACTCCATTTGATCATTATGCCCGACTAAGACAAACATGTTTAGTGTAATAATTCAGTTAGGAATATTTTCATAATTATTTATTTACTTCGTATGTACACATATGATGGTTTTGTTTGTTTGTTGTTGAACGCCTCACTCAGCAATATTCCAACTATATGACGGCGATTTGTGAATAATCGAATCTGGACCAGACAATCCAGTGATTGATATCTAGAGCGTCGATCCACGCTATTGGGATACGATGACATGCATCAACCAAGTCAGCGAGGCTGACCACCCGATCCCGTTAGTCACCTCTTACGACAAGCATCGTCGCCTCTTACGGCAAGCATGGGTTGCTGAAGACCTATTATCTGCTCGGATTTCCACGGGTCACACATATCATGAAAAAGTCTGACTCATGCTCGATATTATCGCGGTACCGGTAAATCTCGAAACCACACTCCCTGTTTACTATGTACTTATGCAAATCTAAGCACAATATTACATCGCTTGATCGAATACAGGACTCGCTACGGTATGTCACAGCTACTCGAAAGTAAACACGTCAATATTTTTTTCATAATAGTTTCTGGAATGTTTTTGAAGAGGAATTCCCCCAACCTCCATACGAAATTGGTAAGAAAAGAACCCATTTGTTAGGACGATGTCCCATGACCAAAAGTAGGTCGTATGCAAACTGATTATGCATAATTCAAAACAGGATTTGGTTTGTTGTTTAACGCCGCACTCAGCAGTAATGCAGCTATATGACGGCGGTCTGTAAATAATCGAGTCTGGACCAGACAATCAAGTGATTGACATCATGAGCATCGATCCACGCAATTGGGATACGATGACATGTATAAATCAAAACAGGAAGTTATGTAAATCACATATGCCACACTTATCACACCACAAAATAGTGAAACGTACGAAACCGTTTAAGAGCAGCAGGTCTACGAACAAGACGTCCTGTTCGACGCGTCATACTGAGTCGACATCACTGTCAACAACGACTGCATTGGTGTCGTCAACACAGGGCATATGGCCTCAACTGCGATGGAGAGATGTCTGGTTCAGCGAAGAATTAAGATTTCTCCTCCGTCGAGGGGATGGAAGAGCACGGATCTACAGACGTCGGGGAGAACGTTACGCCGGAAACTGCGTACAGGAAGTGGACAGGTTTGATTGGGGTAGCGTTATGATGTGGGCGGATATCTCTGATTATGGCAGGACAGGTTTGGTCCATATCCAGGGCAATCTTACGGCTCAACGATACATCAACGATGTTCTCCTATCACACGTCCTTCCAGTTGCAGCCAACGGCAACGGCCTATTCCAGCAGGACAACGCTCGACCGCATACAACACGGATCACAAGAGCCTGTCTACACAACAACAACGTTGCTGTTCTCCCCTGGCCCTCCAGATCCCCGGATTTGAACCCGATAAAGGACCTGTGGGATGAATTGGATAGACGGCTACGCCGACGTTGACCACAGCCCCAGACGTTGTAGCAGTTGGCTTTTGCGTTGCAGGCCAAGTGGGCTACCATTCCCCATATGTGATTCGCATACCCGTCTCTTCCATGGACAGGAGATGTCAGGCCGCAACGGATTCGAACGGGGGACATACGCGTTATTGATGCTTGCTGACCTTCACCTTGGCCTTTTTTCAATGTACCGATAACTGAGATGACTACAATCACCAAGTGTTCATTCCACAACATTTTGGCTCAATACCTTGTACGGTTCCTCGTATAAATGTATTTCCTACCTCACACACATCTGGCTTTGCGTTTCTTTTTTTTACGAGTATATTAATAAATATGCTAGCTGCGGTTTTCCATCTTCAGTCTGGACATGTGCGGGCACATACATCTCTGTATTGTGTTCTGAGACGTAAATGAGAAATACAAGATAGCCATCATACATTAAGTGATGCAATACTATATAAATCTGAAAATGCATGTCTGGTCGATATCTCACTGAAATAATACTTTCAGTCTGCCTCAAAATGACACTATGGTAGACCATGAGACGATAGTTCTCACTGCCCAACAAAGTCACACCACGAGAAAATGCAATTATCCGCCATATTTTTATCATTTTGCACATTAATTTTTACCTACCTATATATGACAACGTTAAGTCCTGTGTATCCTACTGGATTTCGTTGTAGATTAACTTAGCACGACCACTACTTTGAGGACTTCAAGCGGCAGGCTCATTCAAACTTCACACAAACAAACAATAAGCTCACATTTCTAAACCACGTCTTGCTGAAAGCAAGTAAGCATTTATTTTCTAATTAATTACATAGGTCAGACGTTATCTGCATAAATTATAGTATTGTTTCCAAATATATCTGGGATAATGGATATTGCTCGGAGACAAACTTCCTACATTTTCCTGCTGCAGTGTGGGAGTCAAAACAATCTAACCACAACAGACGACATTTCCGTTTGTATCCGCCATACTTCCAGTGAAAGTAGATATTAATCGTACTACCTTGGTTTGTCACGAGAAATCATGTTCTGTCTCTGTTGACCATACTGAGGAACTATTCCCACAGTACAAGCTGGGTCACCTCGTGAACAAGAAGACGAATAGTAAGTGAGTGAGTTGGGTTTAACGCTGCTTTTAACAGTATTCCAGTTATATCGCGGCGTGTCAGCTTAATATGGGAGGAAAGCCCAAAGTAATGCAGGTCTCAGACGTTTACCACTTCGGTGAAACCCACGAGCACAGGTATGGTGCTGACAAACCTAGAAACATAATCGGGGCGAACCGGGATTAGAACCCACAATCATAAGCTTCTGGCGTGCCCAAGGGACGCAACTCTGCACAACGAATCGCGGCGCCTTAGACAACTGGGCCACCCGTGCCCCCAGAAGACGAATAGACACCTAGTTGGGCATATAATGATAACCACACACCCCTTTAACAAGTGTCTGGTGAACACCCCTTTAACAAGTGTCTGGTGAAAGGTGTCGCGCCTTCCATCTAGAATTTTGTCACATATAACTTATGACCAGCATTTTCGACGAAACCATGCTACCAAGCAAATATTAAATGAAGTGTCATAAAATATGTCGTCCCTCGGGGGAAATGGTGAGAAATATGAGTACACCACAAAACCACAAAACCATGATATATATACAACCCAAAACAAGTAAAGAACACCTACAATTGGAAGGCTGTGTTTTTAAAAAGTCAGGTGTTCTTTAGCTTCTTTTGTACATACTTGTTAAAAGCCTACAATTACTAAGTATGTTTTCTTTGTGTTGTGAGAGAGTGAGAGAGTATGGTTTTACACTGCTTTTAGCAATATTCCAGCAATATCACTGCTGGGGACACCAGAAATGGGCTTCACACATTGTACCCATGTCGGGAATCGAACCTGGGTCTTCGGCGTGATGAGCGAACGCTTTAACCACTAGGCTACCCGACCGCCTCTTTGTGTTGTAATTTCTCTTCATAGATGTGTATTAATATGATAGTAGAAGAGCAATTATTTCACTTTTAGCAATGTTCCTGGGACATTCCAGGAGGGGAAGAATGAGCCCCACTCTGAATCCAAGCCACCATCTCAACCACTGGGCCACCCCTCAGTCCTATATCAGTGTGTGTTTGATTGTTGTTTATCCTGGGCTGTAAATATACGAGACCAGACAATCCGGTGATTGACATCATGAGCTTCTATCCATGCAATTGGGATACATTGACATGCATCAACCAAGTCAGCAAGTCTGACCACCAGAGCGTAGTCACCTTTTACTGCAAGTATGAGTTGCTGAAGACCTTTCTGACCCAGATATCATAGGTGCTATATCAGTGAGTGAATGTTGTTTAATGCTGTTAGCAACAATCCAGAACAAACCTCTGACTAAAAGCAGAGTATTGATCTATGAACCTCCGGTACAAGGACTCCTTGGTCAAAACGCTGGACTAAATTGCTAAATTGCTCATCTTACTCGGTTCATATTGCCCTCTTGTTACCGGTATATGGCTGTGTATTCTATTGTTGATTTCTGGATTACAATATCGTTTCAATTTGGGAATGGACACGCAGCACTATATCAATCAGTGACAGTACAACCAAGTGTGACATTTTGTAAGAAAGTTTATTGCTATTTGAATTACAGACAGTACATGGATATAAAATGTTGGCATTACAAACTTGATAAACAATCAACAGTAAAACAGTTTGAGCCTCAATATTTTCAAATCATTAATTTAATTTGAAAACAGTGAATTCCCTATATCTATTACTCAGAAAACAAACTTAACAAAATATTAAAATAATTTTCTACAAGAACAAACTAGTTCTAGTCTATAACCCAAGATAGATGATCTTCATGTGGATGTTTCTTTTGTACGATGCAGTAAAACCATTCTAGTCAGTGGTCAACACTGAACAGCATGGCCACTGGTCAACTGGAACCAGATTAGTCAATGGTGAATAACAAAGCCAGGATGGATACATTTTCAAAATATCCAATTTCTGACAACTTCTGGGCAGCAAATATCAAACATGCCATAAGAACCTCCAAAATAAGAAAATTTTCTCACTCGTATTTTCATGATATTTTGTTGAAGCGAGCTACCAAGTCAATGGGTTATGTGATTACAGATTGCTTCCCTGAGAACTTTCATACACCAGTTGTGATTAACATCCAGCCCAAACCTGACTAACAGCATGACTATACCTCTATCATGTAGCTATTATTAATTGTAGCAAAACATGGATACATGAAATAATGAAATAATGATATGAGAAAAGGTTTTACAGTGAATGACTTGTAAAGAGATTGATGATACAAGGAAACTTCTATTTTTTTCGAAATGATAAATATGGGTTTCTTGACAACTGCTTCCAGCGGCAATAATGACATTTGGGTTGCAAGTGAAACAATGGGTCAGTAAGGTTGACAAAAAAACACAAGTATTTTTTTTTATATTCCAAATAAGTTATCTTTAATGTAAATAGTATTTGTTTGCCTGAGGTTGGTTCAATATCTTTCTGTAAAAAATGTTGTTTTTAACATACAGATTATGCTATTTAAAGTATGACTAAGATTAGAAAATATTTCCCTTATGTGGGTCTGTCTGCATTTTCCTTGTGTATCTCAATATACATATTATAGTAAGGGCGACATATTAATAATGTCTCTATTAATAATAACAAGTGGACTTCCCTGATATTGGCATTCAAGAAGATTGCATAAAACTTTATGCCTCAATCACCATAACATAACAGCAATAATTCCATAAAAACTACATGTCATGAAAAATCTCAAGACAAATACAACAGATAATGTTTTAAAGCTCTATGATAAAAACAAACTTTCTATGTTTGAAAATCTGTAGATAAAAGACACTGAAGAGTTGCTTACTATAAAAGTGATTCAACATTCATCAATACGTCAAAGGGTACAACACTACAGTACTGACAAGTTATATTCTACATATAAAGCAAACCAAAAACAAAACTGAGGTCTGTTTACCTGTATAGGTCTAACATGGGACTCAGCAGTCAAGGTCAAGGTCGGTCAAAGTAACAGTAGAGAATACCTGCCCAACACATACAGCTGACTTGATGACAATGATGGTCAGAGAGTATGATGATATCTAATAAAGTTGACAATGAAAGGTAAAATAGAACTGGGTACATCTGATCTGCCAATATCATACCTCTTTCGATTTTTTTTCAAAGGCACCATTAGATGAATTCTGCAATAGAGCCCCAGAAACCCATCTCCGACTACTGAAAGTAGACAATGGCTGCACTGGTGATGGCAAAGCACAGAGCATCATAAGCATGGTCAATGACGAAGGCGAGCAGGGACCGCCTGGCAAAGCAGAGGTGCGAGATATTGGCCAGGGTCATCAGAGCGCCAAGGCCAAGGCCGGTCTTCACGGCAACCTGGACCGACGTCACCTTCAGGAATGTGCTGTGGACAAATGATGGAATCAAAAATATATGTTCCCAAATATATCTTCGACACTTTCTCTTCATTGCATTTTTATGTTGTATTCGTAACTTTTAGCCACTAGTTCAAAGTGTGAATCTACTAAAATAATGTTCAGTCAAATAAGGAAAGAAGAGTTCATATGTTTAGTGGAAGTGTGTTGGGTTTAACACCACTCTGAACAGTATTCTAGTTATATCCGCGCTAGTCAGCTTAACATGCTAGGAACATATGTTTACTACTTTGGTAAAACACACAAGCAAGGATAGTGTTGGCAGACCTAGAAACATAATCAGGACTAACCGGGATTCAAAATCTATGATCAGAGGTTTCTGGCATGCCCAAGGGACACAGAGAATCTCTGGACTTTACTACACTGTCAGGGAATACAGGGGTTTCTGCTGGACTTTACTACACTGTCGTGGATTACAGGGGGCTCTGCTGGACTTTACTACACTGTCGTGGAATACAGAGGGTTCTGCTGGACTTTACTACACTGTCGTGGAATACAGAGGGGTTCTGCTGGACTTTACTGCACTGTCGTGGAATACAGAGGGTTCTGCTGGACTTTACTACACTGTCGTGGAATACAAGGGGCTTTGCTGGACTTTACTGCACTGTCATGGAATACAGAGGGTTCTGCTGGACTTTACTGCACTGTCATGGAATACAGAGGGTTCTGCTGGACTTCACTGCACTGTCAGGGAATACAGGGGTTTCTGCTGGACTTTACTACACTGTCGTGGAATACAGGGGGCTCTGCTGGACTTTACTGCACTGTCAGGGAATACAGGGGTTTCTGCTGGACTTTACTACACTGTCGTGGAATACAGGGGGCTCTGCTGGACTTTACTGCACTGTCATGGAATACAGATGGTTCTGCTGGACTTTACTACACTGTCAGGGAATACAGAGGGTCTCTGGACTTTACTGCACTGTCATGGAAAACAGAGGGTTCTGCTGGACTTCACTGCACTGTCAGGGAATACAGGGGTTTCTGCTGGACTTTACTACACTGTCGTGGAATACAGGGGGCTCTGCTGGACTTTACTGCACTGTCAGGGAATACAGGGGTTTCTGCTGGACTTTACTACACTGTCGTGGAATACAGGGGGCTCTGCTGGACTTTACTGCACTGTCATGGAATACAGAGGGTTCTGCTGGACTTTACTGCACTGTCAGGGAATACAGAGGGTCTCTGGACTTTACTACACTGTCAGGGAATACAGGGGTTTTCGCTGGACTTTACTGCACTGTCATGGAAAACAGAGGGTTCTGCTGGACTTTACTGCACTGTCATGGAAAACAGAGGGTTCTGCTGGACTTCACTGCACTGTCATGGAAAACAGAGGGTTCTGCTGGACTTCACTGCACTGTCAGGGAATACTGGGGTTTCTGCTGGACTTTACTACACTGTCGTGGAATACAGGGGGCTCTGCTGGACTTTACTGCACTGTCAGGGAATACAGGGGGTTCTGCTCGACTTTACTACACTGTCGTGGAATACAGGGGGCTCTGCTGGACTTTACTGCACTGTCAGGAAATACAGGGGGTTCTGCTGGACTTCACTTCACTGTCGTGGAATACAGAGGGTTCTGCTAGACTTGACTGCACTGTCAGGGAATACAGAGGGTTCTGCTGGACTTTACTGCACTGTCGTGGAATACAGAGGGTCTCTGGACTTTACTACACTGTCAGGGAATACAGGGGTTTCTGCTGGACTTTACTACACTGTCAGGGATTACAGGGGGCTCTGCTGGACTTTACTACACTGTCGTGGAATACAGAGGGTTCTGCTGGACTTTACTACACTGTCGTGGAATACAGAGGGTTCTGCTGGACTTTACTACACTGTCGTGGAATACAGAGGGTTCTGCTGGACTTTACTACACTGTCGTGTAATACAGGGGGCTTTGATGGACTTTACTGAACTGTCAGGGAATACAGGGGTTTCTGCTGGACTTTACTACACTGTCGTGGAATACAGGGGGCTCTGCTGGACTTTACTGCACTGTCAGGGAATACAGGGGTTTCTACTGGACTTTACTACACTGTCGTGGAATACAGGGGGCTCTGCTGGACTTTACTGCACTGTCGTGGAATACAGGGGTTTCTGCTGGACTTTACTACACTGTCGTGGAATACAGGGGGCTCTGCTGGACTTTACTGCACTGTCAGGAAATACAAGGGGTTCTGCTGGACTTCAATGCACTGTCGTGGAATACAAGGGTTCTGCTAGACTTTACTGCACTGTCATGGAATACAGAGGGTTCTGCTGGACTTTACTGCACTGTCAGGGAATACAGAGGATCTCTGGACTTTACTACACTGTCAGGGAATACAGGGGTTTCTGCTGGACTTTACTACACTGTCATTGAATACAGAGGGATCTGCTGGACTTTACTGCACTGTCATGGAAAACAGAGGGTTCTGCTGGACTTCACTGCACTGTCAGGGAATACTGGGGTTTCTGCTGGACTTTACTACACTGTCGTGGAATACAGGGGGCTCTGCTGGACTTTACTGCACTGTCAGGGAATACAGGGGGTTCTGCTTGACTTTACTACACTGTCAGGAAATACAGGGGGTTCTGCTGGACTTCACTTCACTGTCGTGGAATACAGAGGGTTCTGCTAGACTTGACTGCACTGTCAGGGAATACAGAGGGTTCTGCTGGACTTTACTGTACTGTCGTGGAATACAGAGGGTCTCTGGACTTTACTACACTGTCAGGGAATACAGGGGTTTCTGCTGGACTTTACTACACTGTCAGGGATTACAGGGGGCTCTGCTGGACTTTACTACACTGTCGTGGAATACAGAGGGTTCTGCTGGACTTTACTACACTGTCGTGGAATACAGAGGGTTCTGCTGGACTTTACTACACTGTCGTGGAATACAGAGGGTTCTGCTGGACTTTACTACACTGTCGTGTAATACAGGGGGCTTTGATGGACTTTACTACACTGTCGTGGAATACAGGGGGCTCTGCTGGACTTTACTGCACTGTCATGCAAAACAGAGGGTTCTGCTGGACTTTACTGCACTGTCAGGGAATACAGGGGTTTCTGCTGGACTTTACTACACTGTCGTGGAATACAGGGGGCTCTGCTGGACTTTACTGCACTGTCAGGAAATACAAGGGGTTCGGCTGGACTTCACTGCACTGTCGTGGAATACAGAGGGTTCTGTTAGACTTCACTGCACTGTCAGGGAATACAGGGGGTTCTGCTGGACTTTACTACACTGTCGTGGAATACAGGGGGCTCTGCTGGACTTTACTGCACTGTCAGGGAATACAGGGGTTTCTGCTGGACTTTACTACACTGTCGTGGAATACAGGGGGCTCTGCTGGACTTTACTGCACTGTCAGGAAATACAAGGGGTTCTGCTGGACTTCACTGCACTGTCGTGGAATACAGAGGGTTCTGCTAGACTTTACTGCACTGTCGTGGAATACAGAGGGTTCTGCTGGACTTTACTGCACTGTCAGGGAATACAGAGGGTCTCTGGACTTTACTACACTGTCAGGGAATACAGGGGTTTCTGCTGGACTTTACTCCACCGTCATGGAATACAGAGGGTTCTGCTGGACTTTACTGCACTGTCATGGAAAACAGAGGGTTCTGCTGGACTTCACTGCACTGTCAGGGAATACTGGGGTTTCTGCTGGACTTTACTACACTGTCGTGGAATACAGGGGGCTCTGCTGGACTTTACTGCACTGTCAGGGAATACAGGGGGTTCTGCTTGACTTTACTACACTGTTGTGGAATACAGGGGGCTCTGCTGGACTTTACTGCACTGTCAGGAAATACAGGGGGTTCTGCTGGACTTCACTTCACTGTCGTGGAATACAGAGGGTTCTGCTAGACTTGACTGCACTGTCAGGGAATACAGAGGGTTTTGCTGGACTTTACTGCACTGTCATGGAATACAGAGGGTCTCTGGACTTTACTACACTGTCAGGGAATACAGGGGTTTCTGCTGGACTTTACTACACTGTCAGGGATTACAGGGGGCTCTGCTGGACTTTACTACACTGTCGTGGAATACAGAGGGTTCTGCTGGACTTTACTACACTGTCATGGAATACAGAGGGTTCTGCTGGACTTTACTACACTGTCCTGGAATACAGAGGGTTCTGCTGGACTTTACTACACTGTCGTGTAATACAGGGGGCTTTGATGGACTTTACTACACTGTCGTGGAATACAGGGGGCTCTGCTGGACTTTACTGCACTGTCATGCAAAACAGAGGGTTCTGCTGGACTTTACTGCACTGTCAGGGAATACAGGGGTTTCTGCTGGACTTTACTACACTGTCGTGGAATACAGGGGGCTCTGCTGGACTTTACTGCACTGTCAGGAAATACAAGGGGTTCGGCTGGACTTCACTGCACTGTCGTTGAATACAGAGGGTTCTGCTAGACTTTACTACACTGTCAGGGAATACATGGGGCTTTGCTGGACTTTACTGCACTGTCATGGAATACAGAGGGTTCTGCTGGACTTTACTACACTGCCGTGGAATACAGAGGGTTCTGCTGGACTTTACTACACTGTCCTGGAATACAGAGGGTTCTGCTGGACTTTACTACACTGTCGTGTAATACAGGGGGCTTTGATGGACTTTACTACACTGTCGTGGAATACAGGGGGCTCTGCTGGACTTTACTGCACTGTCATGCAAAACAGAGGGTTCTGCTGGACTTTACTGCACTGTCAGGGAATACAGGGGTTTCTGCTGGACTTTACTACACTGTCGTGTAATACAGGGGGCTTTGATGGACTTTACTACACTGTCGTGGAATACAGGGGGCTCTGCTGGACTTTACTGCACTGTCATGCAAAACAGAGGGTTCTGCTGGACTTTACTGCACTGTCAGGGAATACAGGGGTTTCTGCTGGACTTTACTACACTGTCGTGGAATACAGGGGGCTCTGCTGGACTTTACTGCACTGTCAGGAAATACAAGGGGTTCGGCTGGACTTCACTGCACTGTTGTGGAATACAGAGGGTTCTGCTAGACTTTACTACACTGTCAGGGAATACATGGGGCTTTGCTGGACTTTACTGCACTGTCATGGAATACAGAGGGTTCTGCTGGACTTAACTACACTGTCAGGGAATACAGGGGGTTCTGCTGGACTTTACTGCACTGTCGTGGAATACAGAGGGTTCTGCTAGACTTTACTGCACTGTCATGGAATACAGAGGGTTCTGCTGGACTTTACTGCACTGTCAGGGAATACAGAGGGTCTCTGGACTTTACTACACTGTCAGGGAATACAGGGGTTTCTGCTGGACTTTACTACACCGTCATGGAATACAGAGGGTTCTGCTGGACTTTACTGCACTGTCATGGAATACAGAGGGTTCTGCTGGACTTTACTGCACTGTCAGGGAATACAGAGGGTCTCTGGACTTTACTACACTGTCAGGGAATACTGGGGTTTCTGCTGGAGTTTACTACACTGTCGTGGAATACAGGGGGCTCTGCTGGACTTTACTACACTGTCAGGAAATACAGGGGGTTCTGCTGGACTTCACTTCACTGTCGTGGAATACAGAGGGTTCTGCTAGACTTGACTGCACTGTCAGGGAATACAGAGGGTTCTGCTGGACTTTACTGCACTGTCGTGGAATACAGAGGGTCTCTGGACTTTACTACACTGTCAGGGAATACAGGGGTTTCTGCTGGACTTTACTACACTGTCAGGGATTACAGGGGGCTCTGCTGGACTTTACTACACTGTCGTGGAATACAGAGGGTTCTGCTGGACTTTACTACACTGTCGTGGAATACAGAGGGTTCTGCTGGACTTTACTACACTGTCGTGGAATACAGAGGGTTCTGCTGGTCTTTACTACACTGTCAGGAAATACAGGGGTTCTGCTGGACTTTACTGAACTGTCAGGAAATACAGGGGGTTCTGCTGGACTTTACTGAACTGTCAGGGAATACAGGGGGTTCTGCTGGACTTCACTGCACTGTCAGGGAATACAGGGGGTTCTGCTGGACTTTACTACACTGTCGTGGAATACAGAGGGTTCTGCTGGTCTTTACTACACTGTCAGGAAATACAGGGGTTCTGCTGGACTTTACTGAACTGTCAGGAAATACAGGGGGTTCTGCTGGACTTTACTGAACTGTCAGGGAATACAGGGGGTTCTGCTGGACTTCACTGCACTGTCAGGGAATACAGGGGGTTCTGCTGGACTTTACTGCACTGTCGTGGAATACAGAGGGTTCTGCTGGACTTTACTGCACTGTCATGGAATACAGAGGGTTCTGCTGGACTTCACTTCACTGTCGTGGAATACAGAGGTTCTGCTGGACTTCACTGCACTGTCGTGGAATACAGAGGGTTCTGCTGGACTTACATGAGAATGAACTGAAGGAGCAGCGCCAACGTTGCTGTAGAAACCAGCGTGAAGGTGTAGGCGATGGCGAAGCCGTTCTGTGCTATCTGCTGGGGCGACTTCCCCGGGAAGGTTGCCTTCATCCACGGACCCCCAAACAGGAAGGGAGCGTACCACAGCGCTCCCAGGACCTGGCTGCTCAGGAAACCCACGATTGCACCCCAAACCATCTTGTCTGAAAAGAACACAATCACTACTTTAACAACAATTTATCAACAATCTATATGAGAAGGAGGTGGGTATTATGTGAGTGTGAACATCAATGAATGTTAAAAACAATAGAGTATGTGACTGAAGCCCTAGTCTAGTAAAATTCTGTTCAGTCTAGTAATAATAATCCTGCTTTTATCAACCATGTTGAAAATCTATGTTTTTCTTTTTGGGAAAATGCAAAAGTGCATGTGTAAAGAACATTTGGTCTGAGACTATAGTCAGTGAGTGGGTGAGTATGGTTTTACACCGCTTTTATCAATATTCCAGCAATATCACGGCTGGGGACACCAGAAATGGGCTTCACACATTGTACCCATGTTGGAAATAGAACCCAGGTCTTCGGCGTGACGAGCAAACACTTTTACCACCAGGCTACCCCACCGGCCCCAATACTCAATGACAATGAGGCTGGTTCCATGATAACAATACATCAACAAGCTCTGCCACATAGGCAGTTAGACTCTTCTATTGATGAAAATAAAACTTGACCATGTTGCCAGATAGGGAAAAAGTAAAGAGTAAATATTGCCTGGTATTCCTGAATCATTTAAAGGTAATCACACCTCACAAACAGTAGTCATCAGATGACATTTCCTCCCTGCTTGGTGGAAATATCATGAAGAAATATTGACATGTTCAGATATGTTCCTGAAACAGATCAAGTCAAAGTGAATTAAGACGCCTTTTTCCATGAAATGCCCAAGAATTAAAAATTAAACATATATCAAAAGCATAAAGCACAATTTCAGAGCTATAGATAAGCTTTTGGTTATCTGGGTATTTTACCCAGGTGTCCAGGCCTCAAAGTTGTGACTAAAACCGTCGCCAATGCGACCTAAATTTTTAATTTGCCTACTGACTAAAATTAAGAGGTCGCCAAATGGCTACCTTGAAAAATATCTTGTGGCAACTAAATTCTATTGCTTCACATACGTAGACACAAACGTAAATAATTTGATTGACATTTGCAACGCCATTTTCTTGATCGTGTTTTCACGGTCGCAATGGAAAGCAATGGACTTGTATACATATTATAATAGTTATTTAATAAAAGATAATTTTAAATGTTTTTGGCTACCTAACATTTTTGCTTGTCTTGTTGATTTTACAAGTGGCTAACTGGAAAAAGGAACTTGTTAAAAAATTAAACTTTGAGGCCTGCGGGTCTAATTTTGATCAGATATCCACAAGTTTTAGAGGGTATTCAAAAAAATTTTACCCACCCTTTTCTTCACATTTGGGTATTTAACTTAAAACATGTTTTGAACAATCCCTGTAAATCATTTAAAACTATGTGAATTGTAGTATACACATCTCCGTCTGCTTGCGGCTCCCTCTCCAGGAAGCCATTTTTGTTTACAAAACCTAGCATTGTAAGAAAGGTGCCATTGTTTTAATGACCAATCAGCGCCTAATTAAGATACAACATGTACATTGACTAGGCACAATGTGTTTATCAATTGGCATCTATCAGTAGGGCTGTTGCAGAAGCTTTGCCGAATGTAACTGTTGGTAAGTGAATTTGGTGAACGGCTGACACACAACGATTTTATCTAACAGTAATATATGCAATCGTTTTATCTAATAATTGTTATATATGCATTAATTTTATTTCAATAGCATATTTATATGTGTTTGTTGCGTATTTGATATGCTAGGATTTGTCTGTGTATTTCAGATCATTTAATGCGTATATTACGCAAATACACAGCTTATCTGCAGCTCTGCAATTTCATCACATGGTACATTGAACGAAGTTGCGTTCATAAACATATGATAATGGCACAAGTCTATAAATTTAAGTTTAATGCTTTTTCAAGATGTTCAGCACTCAAGATAATTTTGCACCTGCTCAGAATATCATCCACAGCATCGTGTTCCCTCACAACAACTTCATGAGTGCAGGTGTTCACACGTCAGTTGGGGAGGCACTCCAACAACACTGACTACCACATGGTATGGTACAGCAACATCTCCTCCACATATCCCCTTACATCATCAGTAGGTGATAACAAGGTAAATGGGAGGATCTACATCTATCAGATAAATAAAACATTGTCACAGAATTCAAAGCATATTGTGCACTAGGGCTGCAACGAATACACTATGAGGTGAATACGATTCGTATCACGAATATAGGGTAACGAATATGAATATTAATTCACGAATACAATAGCAAGTCAGCAGTTGATGTATTATTTGTTATATTCAGAGAAACATTAACAACATAAGTGTTTTGACATGGTTTGTTAATTATAAATATATTATACATTTATATACTGCACTTATCCAGTTAGTAGTATCTGCTCAAAGGCGACAATGACCAGTAACCACACTACTGTTAAATTAAATATTGTAAGAGTGTTGTCATTAAAGAAATCTATGCATATAATATGTTCTTATGGATATTTTTAGGTACAGGGTATGTAAATGCACATACTTGCATATTCATAAATATTCGATTCTAATGGCAACGAATAACGAATTCAATTCATGAATGGATACGGTTCGATTTACCGAATACGCGAGTGAATCGTAACAGCCCTATTGTGCACTGAAACCTTTCCAAATTGTTTGATTCACAACAATAATTAATGATGTGTACATTCTGCCTCTAGTCCTGTACCACGACTAGAATGTATGTATTTTATGTAAAAAAACCAATCTAGATTGATCTAGCCAGCTTTATGAATTCAGCATCAGGAGGAAAATAGATTTAAAGAAGCAGAGAAATGTGTTGTGTTATAAAAGATTTCATTGACCATGTCTGTCAAATTCTGCCTCCCAAGGACTGATATAGCTTGGCCCATTCAAAGTAACTAACTACTTCAACGACTGCACATGTTTGTTTGGTACATCTGTCAGTCGTAGGGTGTAAATAATGCAAGGGACACAACTCTGCAGAGTGAATTGTAGCGATTTAGACTGTACCATCCGTGCCCCCGTTATTTAAAGTGGTCCAGTCAATAGGCCACACTCATACCGTATCTGTTGTAGCTGTCTTGTCAGAATTTCTTAATGCCAGTTCTCTGACTGCACTAATGGCCAGTAGATCTAATGTTCCCAAGATAAATAGTCTGCGTCAAAACCTTTAAGGTCTGCATCCAAACACAAATTGAGCATTACTGTCTGTGTATTTCAGTCCCAGTTTCTAAACTTGAAAAATCTGAATTTAATGGCAGAAATTTTACGACGCTCTGGCTTTCGTACTAGTGGCTAAAGTCGCAGGCTTGGCAAAGCAATGACAAAATAGGGGAAATATGAGCCGTAATTTTCACATGAGGCTTGTGTTAGTGTCTTGTTCAATGTTTTGGAAATATTCTAGTCAAATCACCCATCATAGTGGTCTGAACCAGACAGACCAGTGGTTGACAGCAAGAGCAACACTCCCCAGTATCTGGTAACAAACAGTCCCTCACAAGTATCCATGATGTCACATACTGTAAACATCCACTGTCTTATCCTAGATAGCTCCTGCGTAAAACACCAGGTACAGGGAACCTATTCTTCCTCTCCTTAACTTAGAACCAGTGTTCCCGTTTACCGGTAAATACCAGTTTTTACAAGTAAAATTGGGCTTGGACCGGTAATTCATATGACTGCCAATCCCTATGGACCGGCAAATAAAGTATCTCATAAATCTTTGATGTTGAACAAGCATGGGTTGCTGAAGACCTATTCTGCACCATTCTTCACAGGTAAAAAACTTCAATTGTACCACTTACCTACCTTCTTCCAATAAACGTTTAGCTTTTAAAAATCAGTCCAACAACTGCCTCCTCAACCATACATTATCTTTGAACCAGTTTTCCTAACACAAGCCAATCAACAATCCTTTCTGATCTTCTAGGCGGTATAGCAGCATACAATACCTGTGACTCCAGGCACCTCTTACTGTGAGGATGTCCTGGTCATCTATACACTATACAAGCACCACTTGACACAGCCTAGCTACTGGTCAAGGTGTGTACACGGTGATAACACATGTGACACTGTAGCCTTCGCTGTGTCCCCCTACCTGACTACCACCTGGAGGAATGGAGATACAGGAGCACGCCAGACGAGGACACCTCACAGCCAACAGGAGGAACATGTCTCAATGCGAGCTGATATGCCCCGATTTATATACACGAGAAACTGAACAAGCACAGACATGAATATGATGTTGCAAGACCTGACCTGTTTGATGTTGCAAGACTTTCGGCTGACAAATTAGGAGAGGAACTGCTCTAATTATAGAAAAGATGAAATGATGGCATGAGCACCGCAGGGTATAGATCTTGAGCAGGCAACCAGGGAGTGAGTGTTGATTCCGGCCATGGGCCTCATGAGTGAGTGAGTGAGTGAGTGAGTGAGTGAGTGAGTGAGTGTTGTTCCAGACCATGGGCTTCATGAGTGAGTGAGTGAGTGAGTGTTGTTCCAGACCATGGGCCTCATTACTGACTGATAGAGGGCTGTTCCAAGCCACAGGCCTCATTACTGAGTGAGTGAGTGTTGTTCCAAGCCACAGGCCTCATTACTGAGTGAGTGAGTGAGTGTTGTTCCAAGCCACAGGCCTCATTACTGAGTGAGTGAGTGAGTGTTGTTCCAGACCACGGGCCTCATTACTGAGTGAGTGAGTGAGTGAGTGAGTGAGTGTTGTTCCAGACCAACTTTCAATACATTTCTTGATCTTTGTCATATCTGAATTTTGGAATCATTGCTTTCAACATGAACGAGATAAATATCTCATTCCTCGAATACTTAGTTTCTTCGATAAATATTTATCCAAATGAGTCATAGGTGTTTTTTTCTCTCCATTCTGCAAACCATGCGGGTTTGGGTTTCATGTGTTTCACAAATACATTGCAAGTGATTCCATGTCATTTGATTGGCTAACCAAACAATTATTTTTACATTAATTCATCCATAAACTGAATAGGATACGTCCACTAGCGAGCAACGGTTTCCTAATTGGCTGATAATAGAGTGGGAGGGGTTGTGTCCCTGTTTTCATACCGTTGTGTACAGACTTGGTTTTGATTGGAACAGAAGTCCGTGGAGTTATTATTGTTTGTATTACTTTTTATATCTACAGGAACTGACGTCAAATCATCTTTTGCTAATAAGGAGTTCTAAACATAACAACCAGTGTGCATACTTTGCATAAAGCCCCAACATGCTGTGCACATCATGTTTCCTCTAAAACTAGAGAAATGGCCATAAATACCTTTTTCAATCTAATTTGAGCAGATATGGCTGCGCAGTAGCAATAAAGAAAAGGTATTCAATAGAGCTACCATGGCACCATCAGAAGCAAACCTCTTGAACAAATTCAGGTGTCACCACCAGTGGCATCAAGCACGTTTCATTACATTGGTCATGTGGCTTCTTAGAAGATGTTACGATGAATGATTCATGTTTTTTTTATTTTCAGATATGGTCACTGGCAGCAAGATTTGACTTCCAATCAAGTTCCAACAAACTTGGTTACTATATACAGTGAAATTTCAATTTTGATGTGTTGATTAAACTTGAATCAGTTCATAGTAACAAACATCCAAACAAACTATCAGTTGGAAAGAAAATTTGGAAAATAATTTGAAAATGTAAAAGGCTTATGTAAAAGTGTAATCAGTACTATATAATTATAGTAGGCCTAAACATAGATTCTCAGTTATGTCTGGATTATATATTTTGGGGGTCAAGGGGACCCTTTAATTGTAAGTGTTCCATATAAAAAAAAGTCCCAAGCTAGAAATTGATACAGTACTCTCCCACAAGGGATGTAAGATTAC